CTTTTTTTCCCCCTCCCTCCCTTTCCCCTTTCCCCCCATCTGCCACCCCCGGGCTTAGTTGGCTAACCTTGTATCTCCTGTAACCTAGTTGTGTTCCCCTCCTCACCCCCATCCCTCTACTGTTAGTCCCTCACTCGGGCGATCTGTATTTCCCTATCAGCTTTGTCATCTTTTTTTCTGGATTCCCAATCCTAAACATTTACTAATAAAAGTCATTCTGTTGATTTTACTATCACAGGCCTCAAACAGCTAAAGAAAGTGATCCTACTGATTCAGCTATAGGTTCCAGGTCTCAATGTACTGGAGTGCAGTAATGTACTAACTAGACTATTTTATCTTACTATGCTTTCTAAAGATGCCGTGAAATTAGGCTAACAATACTGTCTTGTACTGCAATTTCCACTTATATTATGCATGCAAAGTTTTAATAATTGATACCTGTTTTCAAAGTTTCTTTTTTCCTACTCCACTCTTACTTAACCAGGTGTTCAAGTGCCAAGAAAGTATGGCAAAGGGCAAAGTGGTAATCAGAGGAAAAATGACTTTATTTTTTAGGTCAACCCCCCCCACAAAATGAAGTAGATTAAGCACACAAAATTATTCAACAAATTGCATCTTCTAAAGTGTTTCATTTTTACTAGTCAGAAAGTAATACCAGTTTTGCTTATAGTAGCTCTCAGAAATACTACTAAGTCTAAAAATTATAGAATTATTTATAAATTAAAATAAAATAACAGTAGGTTTGAAGCCAAGAGGCAAGGACTAGAACAGGGGTGAGCAATTATTTGGGCCCACACACCACACAGAGGGTTTTGGTAAATGCCATGGGCTGGGTCAGTACACTCCCTCTCCCCCCCACCAGAGCTCACCAAAACTCCCTAAGAGTGGCTTCTGTGCACAGGCAGCTGGGATGGAGCCATGGGCAGGAAGGGAGCAGCATTTGGAAGCAGGATGGATGGGTAGGGCTGGAGCCATGGCTGGGATCAGGATTACAAGGCAGTGGCAGTGTGGGGCCAGGGCCAGGGAAGAACCACAATCTGCTGCCCATACACCCCTGCGCTGGGCACCAGTTTTGCAGGCAGGGCAGTGCAGGGAGCATATGGCAGCTCTGCTCCAGGCCCCAGCTTTGTGCTGTCACCACCCAGTGATCCCGGGGTCTCCATGGAGACTGACCAGGACCCGTGCGAGCAGCGCGCACAGCCAGGATATGGCTTGGGGCCATGGGCAGGCAGGCAGCTGCATCTCAGGCCAGGGCCAGGATCTTTGGGTGGTGACAGTGCAGGGCCGAGATAGATCTATGATCTGCTTCTTGCATGCCCCTGCCTGCAGAACTGGCACCCGTTGCAGGGTTATGCAGGTAATGGATCACAGCTCTGTCCCAAGCTCCAGCCCTGCACTGTTATGTTCTGTGATCCTGGTCCTGAGTCTTGGCCCTGGCCCTAGCAGCCAGTTCTGTTCTTGATTGCAAACTCCCTGCCCAGGTGCAGCCCCATCCCAGCCATGTGCCCTGCCTATGTAGGTCCCACCCCCAGTGGACGGGTCAGGGTGCCTGGCAGCAGCAGCCAGGAGCCACCACTGGGTCTGCCAGGAAATAGTCTTGCCACTGCACCACCCTAGTCCTGCTCCATGCCTGGGGGTGATAAGACTGGCTGTACATGCCACGACCTGGGTTGCCCCCCCACACCTCGGCCAGGCTTGGCCAAAGGACCTGCTGTGGGACTGACAAAATGCCTTAGCAAGCCGGATCCAGTCCGTGGGCCATATTTTGCCAATCTCTGGCCTACGATGTTAGGTTGTGGCTGTCAAAGGAATGACTTGCATCTAAATTTAATTATTTCAGCTTAGTCCTATGATCTCTTCTGAATTAAGTCTACTGGGCTATGAATGAACTGTCTAAAGGTTAAATTAATCTATCCTGATGCTTTTAGTCTGTGAGAAAAGGATTTGCATTTTTATACAAATAAAAAAGATATACTTTAATAAAAGTTTTTCCCTCTGTAGTTTGTTTTTGAAAATAAATGAACCTCCATAAATATAACTCTTTAAAACTGAAATAAGTCATTTATTCCATCTCAAAAATATTTTCTAGAAGAATTGTAGGAAGATTTTTCTGTGAGCCAGTATTAAAATAAGCATGTGTGTTTATTAGTTTTAATATATGAATGTAGTACTCTGATACGTTTTGCCTGCCCTCTGATCCACTCTACAATTATTTCTACAAATTCTGATTTATTTCTTGATCACTTTGAAAATATTCTATACATAAAAAATGTTTAAAACTTTACTTCCTCACTGCCAGTTAATAGCATTTTATTGACTTCTGTTGGTTCCTACTTCTGAAATTCAAAAAGGAGCAGCCAGTATAGACAGTATTGATAAAGAACATTATCTATTCCCAAAAGGTCTAATGTTTTTCAGTAAATCCAAGGAATCCATTACATGAAAAAAATGAATACATTTCACTTGATCACTGGGTCAGCTACTTAACAGAGTAATCAAGTGCTGGTCTGCCCCGTTTCTAGTTTCCACCTCTCCTATAATTAAGATTTCACACATTTTTTGAATGAGGTATAAAGACACTTTGATAATCGAAGATTCAAGCTGGAATACTTCAACCTGGGACCTGTAGTCTCTGCAGGCTTCATTTGCTCAATGAACAGGAGTGTGATTGCTACTTGCTCTGTTTAATGGAAACTAAGAGAAGCCTTCTGGCTTTTGCAAACTTCAATGCAGCCCTCTCTGTGGCAAAATCTCAAAGGTCCCTTTGACTTCTAATTACTTTCCACTTTGCTAGGACAGCAACTTCAAGCAACAGCCTTTCATTTCTGGACCTTATTTGGTTTGTCCACAGCATAAATAAAAAGAATTCATGGCCTCATTACAAGAAGCCCTGATTACCAACATCTCCAGTGAGTACTTCTTACACTCCTTAAAAATCGGACTATCATTATCCCCCCAAATAAATTTACATGATTTTTTTATACAAGGCCCTCAAATGCACATAATTGTTCTATTCTTCCCACTCACCTCCACCTTAGAAAGACACCTTTTAAAAGCACAGAAATGCATTTTTGCCCAACAAGAGTTTGGAAGGAAAAAGGATCCTCAACCTGCCCCTTGAGGGCCAAAGGATCCCTTCCCTTTTAACATCTTGGTCAGGGCTCAGAACAAATCTCTAACCTGGCTTATTTGTGTGCTAGTATACAGCATTAAAGGATGGAGTTAACTGTATTGTGTTAAAATACAGTTTTGATAGGCTATCAAGCCGCTCTTAAAAATATTAACTGATTTTTTTCAGGAATGAAAGGGCTACTATATTTTCACAATGAACTCTTTTGTTACTTTATGACAGTATTGTAATACAGGGCTGTGCACAGGCCCTCTCAGAGGTCGAGGGAGGCCTGAGCCACTTGCATTTTTGAGGCTTCCGGTATATTAAAAAAAAAATATTAATTCATAGTGCACTACAGGAGGTGTGGCCCAGTAATGGCACACAAGTTTAAAGTTGTATGATGAATGTCGTCTTCTTTCAATCCTATCAGTGTATCTCTGTGTCTGTATGTATAACCTCATTTGGAGATAATGTCAAAAGTGTAAATTTGAGGCCCTCTGTGAATGAGAGGCCCAAGCCAAATGGACCTCCTGGCTCCCTGTGATAGGCTCTGGCTGTGCAACTGCTAAGTGGCCAGGGCCTGAATGCTCTATGGTTCACAGCAGGGTGAGCCTGCCCCCCTCTGCCCCCTTTGGGGCTGCACACTACAGCTGAAGCCAGAGGACAGGGGGAGCCCGGAGACTCCTGTTGTTGCAGCAAGTATGGTAGGGGGAGTGGCAGCCTGGCAGGAGCCTGTGGTCCTCAACTTAAGCCCTTGCAGGCCTCATGTAGCCTATGGGCCACTGGTTGGATGTGACTCTCATATATTCAACCAACACTATTGGTGTCTTTTGATATTTGTGTAGCTTTATTGGCAGTCTCCTTAGATCTTTCCCCTTATGATTTTCCTTTAAAAAAGAAATACTTTAAGGAGTAAGTCTTGTTTGATAAGCTCAGATCCATAACTATCTCTGCAAATTGCAGTGCTCACTAGGACAAGCAGCAAACACTGATCTCTCAGTGCAGAAAGCACTATATCCATTACTGCCATAACAGTATCAGCTGTTGTGTTAGCTTGGTATATTAGAAATCCTGTTTAACACATATATATATATATTTGCATGCAGTTAACTACAGTTTTGTTTCACTATGACAGGCTTCAGGAAATACATTTTGTCTGCAACTGAGCCTTTTGTTTTGTGAGACGTGTGCTCAAGAACAGTGAGAGTAGCATTTGCTTACCATGAAATGAGGTTGTGTTAAGATACGCTTTAGTTCTTTTGCATCACTGTTCTCTGGGTAACATGAAATTTCTTCCAGTACCTGCAAAGCAAATGGGAAATGTGTCAGTAAAGTGTTTTCTACCAAAATATTGTAAAAAAGTATTTTTTTACTTTGGTAGGTCACTCATAATCCATGTGAGACCATTACAACTAATGGGTCATTATGACAGTGAAGAGTTTTGAGGAATGTGAATTTTTTTTCTAGGAGAAAAAAATATCATATCAATTTCTCTCTTTGTTAGATGAAAGAGGTTTGAAGAAAGCAGAATCTCTTGTCTCAGTCTGAAAGAACTCTTTTAAAGGATCAGTAACTTAATGGTAGAAATGAGGTGTTAACCACAAACTACTTAAGTCATTCCCATCAATCTCCGTCTCCAGGGATGGTAGGGTAACTAATTACTAATACATAAGATGTTTAAAGGCAGAATTAAACTCATATAGAAAAAAAAAAGAATTATCCAGGTCAGAACATTGCTTTTTTAAATTAAACTGTTAATAAACAAGGAACTTTGGTGGTCCCATCTGTTATATCAGCCTAGAACTCCAGAGTCTATAAACATAAAAATAGCACATTAGCTGAAGATCGGGGGAGAAGAGATAAATGGATGTTAACTCAACTCCTTGCAGCTGGACATCTTCTGGTTTTTTCTCAACACTCAGCTAGTAGGATGATAAAAAAGAAAGCATTTTGCTTTTGGCAGTGACTCCCAAGATTAATTGCTAGGGAATTCTGCACACCAATGTGTTTGGAACAAATAAAGGTCCCTCCTACCATCTGGGGAAAGGATCTCCTTGTCAAATCATTCTAATTCATTATTCTACACATTGGTAAACAAAGTGCATTTTCAACTTTTCCATCCTGCTAAGGCTGCAGTTTTAGCATTCCTGCCCGATCACGAGACACACGACTCAGTTCTGTCAAGTGGGCGTGAGTCACCATATTTTTGGGCAGTTGCACCTTTTCATATCTAATCTCCTCCACTGTTACAATGAATAGGGGATTTGCACTCATAGTTGCTACCAAAAAAAAAAAAGGCTGCAGTGATATGCATAAACTGCACTGGAAGTTTCCACGCAGTTTAGAGGATTCTGAAATGCACATGTGAGTTTTAAGTCCACTGGATTTGCTGTTAGCATTTAACTTGGGCTATCTCTCTACCTCACACGCAGATAAATGACCTGTGAGATTCTGGGCTGCACAAAGTAAAATAAAAAATGAAGAAGATTCTATAAATTTACGTAAGTTGTGGAACGGTTACATTTGTACCTGCAAAGGTTCTTTAACAAGCCAGATAATTTGTTTTGTTTTTTTAGATATAAAAAAAAAATCAAACACTAAAAAATTACGTAAGAAGGGCAAGGAGGACTATGGGTTTTCCTGTAATAGATTTTATATACATTATACACTGCTTAGAAGCTGCTGTCTTTTGGTAATAACCTGTTTGAAACATTCTTTGGAGGCCAAACTTCTATCCTAATTTTTCTTGCGTCTGTACATGGTAAGTACATATACCTGCTGGCATGGTTTTTTTCCAAACAGATATCTGCATGCAATTTGGAACACTTCTAAGTACTTAATTATGTCCCAATATCAGCTACTTAAATGTCCAAATAACTGTAATTCTGCTACAAAAAAGCAATATATGCAAAACTGCACCTATACTTAGGGCCCACACTGCTGGGAAAACAAAGTGAACTTTTGAAGGTTTGTCCCTTTGTAGTCAGATACCAGCCACACAATGATCCTAAATTCTTTTGCCATCAATTATCCTAACACTACAGAAAAGCAAGACCATTTCAGCCATTTTAATGGCATAGCATCTAAAAGAGCATTAAGTTTTATAGTAATCATAATTTAATAGTTTAAACTTCAGCTAGGTTCACTACTTACCAGGGTTTATTTTTTTAAAACGCATTCTAATCTAGAGTTTGCTGAAGTCACTTCTGCATTTGTAAAATGAGGATTGTATTTCCTTTCTCCCCTCCTTTGTCTGTCTTTGTCTATTTATACCGAGGCAAGGGACTTGGCTGCGATCAGTAGGCATTACAGCAAATAAACTGACTACCAACAACAGTCTGCAGTCGTTTTTTGCTGTTTTGTTACTGGATGCTCCTCCATAAGGACGAAACACCAGGAGCAGTGCTTTCATGCTGCTTACCTGACACTTTACGTAGTCTTATAGTGCTGATTGTGCAAATGCCCACTGCTTGGCCTGATCACCATGCAATGTGGGGAGAAGAATGCTGAGTCAAGAGATGCAGCAGGTGAGAAATCCTGTGGTTTTTATGAGGTGGGGAAACGGAATTGTGGAAACATTTATAATATCAATCAGTTTATCTAGATATGGTCTCTCTTACCAGAGTCTTTGAGCACCTCACATATTCTAATGGACTTATTCCTCACCTTTGTGAGACAGGGAAATATTATCTCACTTTACAGGTACAGAACTAAAACACAGAAGGGTTATGTAACTTGCTCAAGGTACACTGGAGGTTTGTGGCAGAATCAAATTTCTTTAATCTCAGTCCAGTGTCTTAACCTCAAGATCATTTTGTTGCCCTTAAGATAGATGGGATGTAGTAGAAAGTCGGAAATTTCCTGTTTGGTAGCTGAGAAAGTTACCACAGGGAGAGAAGGGAAAGGCAAACCCTCATTCTGAGGTAACCATGAGGAGAGAAAAGGAAGGTGGGTCCTTTCCTTTGCCAGTAGCTGGCTCATATAACCATCACATACCTAGGAAACATGGGGTGCCTAAAAGGTTGTGGGTTACTCGGGTATGGGGCTTCTGTGTGCAGGTTTTTGCAAATCATTACAAAAGCACATGTTTAGCTATGTGAAATCTCTGCATAAAGATCACACCTTTGCTCCACTGGTACTAATTTGATCATGTTTGATCTAAACAGTGTGTTGCAGCATATGGCTTCAGGGACATATGGCTGAATGAAGCCATGGGCACATGTTCTTGAAAAGCCAGGGGTGTGCGATGGTGGTTGGGCAGTGGCACTGAACTGGGTATGTGCAGTGGTACGGAGTTGCATTTGGCCAGAGCTCTTCACTACCACATGTTCCTGGCTTGTTGTGGACATGTGCCCCTGGGTCTGCGCTGTACAAATGCAGCTCCATGTAGGCACACTCCTGCACACCTACACTGCCACACATCCCTGACACTGCTGACCAGCCAGAGCTCCACACCATGAGGCATCAGCATGAAGGTGGAGGCACACAGCTGCATGGAGCTATGTTTGCGCAGCTGCACACCCCCAGCTCCATGCCACTGCCCGGAGGCACGGAGTTCTGGCCGGTTGGTAGTTCAGCAGTGTGCGGTAGCACAGAGCCGACGGGCAGCATACTTCCAGTGGCCCCCTACACTACTGGTGGGTAGGCCTGTGTGAACAGGGAAGTATTAGATTTGGATTCCGCTAATTTGGAGGACAGTGGTTCGATTCCCCAGAGTGCTGAGGGAATTAGCTGAGGTCATTGCGGGACCCCAGCACGACTTTATGAGCACTCATGGTGCTCTGGTGTGGTGCCAGAGGACTGGAAAAGGTCCAATGTGGTTCCCATTTTCAAAAAAAGGGAGGAAGGAGGACACAGGAAACTATAGGCCAGTTAGTCTTACCTCGATCCTGGTTAAGCTTTTTGAGAGAATTATCCTGGTGCATGTCTGCAAGGGGCCAGCAGGGGAGATTGTGCTTAGGGGCAACCAACACGGGTTCATTAGAGGCAGGTCCTGTCAGACCAACCTGGTGGACTTCTTTGACCAGGTCACAAAATCCTTACACACAGGGGTAGTAGTGGACGTTGTCTTTCTGAACTTTAGGAAGGCCTTCGACACTGTCTCTCACCCCATGTTAATTAAAAACTAGGGGACTGTGGTGTCGATGCCTACACAGTCAATTGGGTCACTAACTGGCTGGAGGGCTGCACCCAGAGAGTGGTGGTGGATGGGTCATTTTCGACTTGGAGGGATGCGGGCAGTGGGGTCCCCAGGGCTCGGTCCTTGGGCCCGCACTGTTCAACATCTTCATCAGCAACTTGGACGAGGCTGTAAAAAGCACCCTGTTCAAATCTGCAGACGACACCAAAATGTGGGGGGAAGATGGCATGCCAGAAGGAAGGAATAGGCTGCAATTGGACCTAGACAGGTTACAGGGGTGGGCGGATGAGAACAGGATGGGTTTCAACACTGACAAGTGCAAGTTGCTGCACCTGGGGAGGAAGAACCAGCAGAACACCTACAGGCTGGGGAACTCCCTTCTCATCAGTGCAGAGGCAGAAAAGGATCTTGGAGTCATCATTGATGCCAAAATGAACATGGGTCTACAGTGTGGGGACACGGTCAGGAAGGCCAACCGTACCTTGTCATGCATCCAC